ATAGTACACCAGTAGGAAAAACAACAGCAGAATTGCTATTTCCTTGATCCACAGCCAGGGTTTACCTAACAGGTTTCCGAACCATGAAGACTTATCTTCAGTCATCTGGTGTAATTTTGCTGAAAGATCAAGAATGTCTTGTTGGATTTTGTTCAAGTACGGCAATGTTGATCATGTTGATGGATGACTGAAGTTCCCGTATTTTATTCTCTGCGTTGTGTATTTAATTTTTCTTCCGTGACAGTTGGCTTGGTAGGGGGTCTAGTTGTCTTTCAGAGGTGGTGGCTTCATACACAGGGGATGAGGTCGGTGCGTGTGGGTCTTGGGACAGCCATCAAGTGGTATCTGCACAGAGTAAGAAAGAAAACAAAAGACGACAGAGCAGTATTTGTTGTAAAAGACTGCAAACACTAAGGTTGTATCCTTTGTTCGATCTGAGTCTGCTATTGTTGTTCCTTCTTTCCCCATTTCTTAATTCCTGCGACACCTAAAGAACAGTGAGGTAAGGATGGACTAGTGGATGGGGAAGGCCTATGAGGGAGTCTTCACTGCAGGGTTGGGCCCCAAAGCCTGTTGCATTCGGTTCTTCCCTGGGCTCCTCACTGGTCCGTGTGTCCTATCCTATCCCTGTAGGTGGAGGAACAACTTTACAATGTGAAACATGAGTCCAGGTTTTCCTTCCCTGACACAACACTGCAGCTGCTGTAATCAACATCACTTGATGTGGTCCGTGCCACTTAGGCTCTAACGGCTTGTTTCTGAATGACTTTATCATGCAACAAACAACTCCAATTCTGCATTCTCTATGGGAGTTTCTGTTACTTCACTCGTAGGTGCGTATGTAAGCGTAACACAATCATGAGTCATTTCTCATTTATCCTCTAACACAACTTCAGTCATTGCTTTAAACAGATTCTTAAATTTGTAATCCCACAGGATCAATGATAAAGCTACCGAGGAGCTGCAATCCATATGGCCAGGTTGTCTCCTCTGGGGTCTCTTTTTTCCCCTTTTACTTTTAAATCTCCCAGGATGAGTAAATAATTCTGACGTGCTCATAATCTTCTCCGGCTGTTTCAAATATGGAGAAGCTGTACCCTGGGGATCTACCCCATGGGCCTCCATAACCCTGAGCCTTCCTTTAGTTCTGCCTTCTTGGGTTTTATCTGTGGAATCAAACATCTCTTTTATCCTTTGAGATTTCTCTGTATGCGCCCATCAGAGAGCAGATTTGAGCTACTGGTAGGTGAGTGGGCCCCTGCTGATTTTCGGTTGATCCTCCACGGTTCAGGCCAGTGCTCTGTTTTGTTCGACTGATTACATTGTATCCCTTTCCCTGCGGAGCCATGCAGGCCCAGCAGCTGGAGGGGGAAGCATCTCCTCTACAGCTGTAAATCTGCCTCCTTGGGACTCATGGCAAAGTGGCGTACAATGATGTGTGTTGATGGGATAAGTAACAGAGCCTGTGCGAATTTGTCTCTCTCGTCACCGGTTTTTAGGTAAGAATTCCACACTCTGCAGCGTGCCAACTTGTTCCAATGACCCGAAACGATTGAGAGCGCTGGATCGCTATTAATGTAGAATACTGAAAGCATTTCAACCCCAGTACTGCAGAGAAAACAAACAGTGATGGTCGGGCGTGTATGCACTATGCAGAGAAAACACTTAATAATAATAAAAACCTTGCACAAATTTTTGGGTCCGCAAACAACTTGATTACCAAGTTTGGCTAATTAATATGTAGGCCATCTTTACACCTGGTAGTAAAGGACTAAATTATCTTTCGCATTTGATGTGGGTAACCAAACAGTTGCTGGTCCCCATTGAATTTGAGAGTGGGAAAAAATACTATGGAAGTCACTGGTGACCAGCAACTGTTTGGTTACCCATATTCTTCAAAATAACTTTTATGTTCAACAGAAGAAAGAAACTAATTCAAGTTTAAAACAACTTGACAGTGAGTGAATGATAATAGAATTTACATTTTGGGTGAACTATCCCTTTATTGTTAATTTTTTTTTAATTTATAAAGTGTATATAGTTTTTTTATTTTTATATTTGTTAATTAAATTTCTCGAATGCTACTGCTAAATACACCTACTGTACCTGAAAAACAAAGCACTCTTTGTTTTATTTGTATATTATATGTATTTGGAATGCGTATCTTTGTTTTTATTTTTTAATAAGAAAGTTAAAATAATGATAAAGATTTTTATCTTTGCCCACTTTGGCGTAAATGTCTGTCATATTTTTTTATTTTGTTACCTTGTAAGGCTTTGTTTTTAAAATAGGGAAATTAGTTGGGCTGTACTAGTCAGACAACTTGCAAAATAGTAAAACCAACATGACAAAGAATCGTGATAAAATCGTGAATCGTGATTTTCCTGAAAAAATTTTTTTTTATCGTGATATGATATGTTTGCCATATCGCCCACCCCTATAGTGATGTAGTATCTTAGGGTGAAGCAGTGGAGGCAACCTCTGTCTCTGTGTGAGACTCAGTGACTCAGATCGCTGTTTACACCTGGCTGAGTCCCAATTTATACACATACATATACGTTTCATATTTTTGTTAAAAACCGTAATAGATTTTTTTTTTCAGAATACTTTGATGAATACAAAGTTTAAAAGAACAGCATGTATTTGAAATAGAAATCTTAAATGCATAGAAATCTAGCTATGTAACAATGTAAATATATATACACATTCACAACAGCATGAGTGAACAGATGGAAATAACCAGTTGATAGAAGTATTCTTCTGGTGTCTTGTCTATGAAGAAATAGTCCAAGCAAAATAAAACGAAAACATAGAGAGAACAAGAGAGCAAAGGCAAGCACTGCCAACAAGTCAATTAAAGCGAAAACACATCAAAGGCAGTTTCAGCCTTCTCCCTTGCTCTCAAACAAAACAAGCTCCCTTTGGCAAGGGTACGCAAACAGGTGCTAATCCCTGTCCGCTAGTGTGCAGAGGAGAGAATGGTCTCTTGCACCCACCTCACTCCCTCCAACTAATCTGCCTCAACCCCAGACTGGAGAACTAGCTGTTTGTAAGAGTTCTCAGGGCTCCTCAGTAGCACCACAGACCTCAGGGGGCTGCGTGCAAACCCTCGATAAGGAGCGCGGCTCCCTCATACCTCATTAGAGGATCAGGCATGAAATGGCTCCTCTTTCCCTGTGGACTTTTAAAAAGGTGTTTGGGAGGGGGTGTATTGTTTTCGGAGACAGTGGAGCACAGCGCCGCTGTGAATCACTTTGAAATCAAAGAAACTGGATCCCGAGTCATTGAAACCTTCATGATGTGTGGCCCTTGAACCTACTGTTCACATGGTGATTTTGAAGGCACAATAATTCTGTGCATTGCAGGAATAGATAAAGGAAGGAAGGTGTTCATTTGCATTGGTTTTTGCTTTTGTGTTTGTACAACTGAATATCCTTTTATAACAAATAAAATGGTAAGCAGAAATGCAGATTATAAGCATATTCAAAGTGAAGATTATGAGTAAATCCACCAGTGAAAATGCTTTTTTGCATTTTGTATTTTTTTTTAATTTTTGTCTGTGTGTGTAAAACCTGACGATGTTCTCCAGTTTGATTTAAGAACAATCCATAGAGCATCTTGTACTTCAGCGGAAACAAGTGTGCAAAGTAGTTTACACGTTCAATGTCACAATTTAAATTTGCTTAATACTAAGCTAAAATATGTATTTAGATATGGTGTAATGGTTGCAACAGTATTCGATCTTCTGGAATGCTCTTCTGCTTGAAAACCACTGACACTGAACGCTGGATCCCCTTAAAACAAGTATCCCAGTGTTAGGAGACTATTTAGAATAAGCCCCGTGAAGGATTATGGCATTTTGCAGTAAATTCTAAAGTTTTAAGAAGCCAATAAGGCCATAATGCATGTTCTCTTTCAGGTGTTAATTAGCACCCATGCTGCTGTTTGAAAACATTTTTAGTCTAGCAAGAACTTTTTATATTTATTATTTTTATGGAAGATGACACAGAATGTCTCTAGGTTACGTATGTAACCATGGTTCCCCGAGGGAACGAGACGCTGCGTCGAGATTCGCTTTGGGAACGTCCCTGCGTGACCGCGTTCTGAAGCACGTGTAAAATCAGTCCAATGGATCAGCGAGACATCACGAGCAGGGTGACGTGAGCGCCAGAAAGTATAAAAGCTCATCCAGCAGAGGGCAAGTTAGCTTCGATGCAGTAGCGCCTGGAGGGATGCAGGGAGTATGGCAAAGAGACGCAGCGTCTCGTTCCCTCGGGGAACCATGTGATTTTAGCAAATGGCTGCAATATAACAAAGAGTGAAAAATTTAAGGGGGTCTGAATAGTTTCCGTACCCACTGTATATCAAAATGTGTCATTATATCTCTTCATTTGACTTTGTAGTTTATAATTTTTTGTGGGAAATAAAATTGATGTGATATTTTGGACCGACTGATGTAAAAGTGTATATTTTGAAGAATGTTTCAACTAAAACAACATTGGATGTCAAAAAAAAAAAACACTGAGAGATTCTGCAAAATATCTTCTTTTGTGTTCCACAGAAGTAAGTCATACAGGTTTTAAACAACTTATGGGTGTGTAAATAATGACAGAATGTTCATATTCTGATGAACTATCTATATCTTATGCTTCTGTTTTAGTGACAAAAGTAAACTGGCCTTGACCAGAAATGGACCCCCAGCTTAATCTTTGGATGATGTATCTGAAGCTCAGCTGGAGATCTTTTGATAGAAGGTGACCAGAATATTATCTGCTTCTTATCTGTTTTGCCACAGGCTAAAATCCACGGTTTCCCAGGAGCAGAGCAATCCAAATACTCTGGTTTTGTCTTTAATGGAGCCCTGTGGTGTTTTGCAGCAACCAAAGAAAAAAAGAAATGTGAAGATATGAATTCCCTCTTCCATCTCAGTAGTTGCTTTTGAGAGTCCTTGTATATGTACTGCACTGAGAATAAAAGAGAGGAAAATAAAAGCTACATACATTTGCGATGGACATGTTGTCATTATAGTTCAATATTCAGATTGTGAGCTAATGGAGAAGAGAAAGCAAATGAGAGGAAAAAGGAGATGGAGTTTTGTAACTGCTTGTTTTTGTCATGCCTTATTGAGTTCTGTACCAGAATGTTTTCCAATCTATTCTGCTTGTTTATTCTCATTGGTCTCTGGTTTTCCAGTCCACCTTCTTACCCATTATAAAGCTATGTGACTGAAATGTATTAGCATCATCATGAGGGGCATGTTAATGTCATGTTTCTACTTAACATTCTACTTCCCAGTTAAAAATGTAGGTCAAACATTTCAAATGCAACTTAGATTGCACCTTTCTGTTACACAGCATTATTATAGTTTCTTCTTGCTGTGCACAGAATTTGATACTGTTTTACTGTGAATTTTATGTTGAAGATAACATGGCATGCAACATCCCATTGGAATGAGTATTTGCTGGATTCCTGCTGAATAAATGTATCTCAAATGCATTATGGGTCTTCAGAATTCAAAAGAAAATGTGCCGGTTGTGCACAAGTACAATTTAGCAAAATTATAACTTGCGTAAAATGCATAAAAATGTGTTTTAGACACTTCCGATGATCAAAATAATGACCGTTTTATATGTAAACATGCAATTTCAGTGACTTGTTTTCAGTTTTTAAGAATCTTAAAATGCTGTATTATTTGGCATCTTATCAGGTTTTGCATTATCACAATTACGTCTTTGTCTAAATCAACAAGTAAAGTGGGACACTCGAGTTTATTCTCAAAAATGGAAATTCTGTCATTTACCCACCCTCATGTTGTTCCAAACCAGTATGATTTTGTGTGAGGAACACAAAAAAGGAGTTTTTTTTTAATGCCTTTTCCATAAAATGAAATGCTGTGGGATTCAGTGTAGTTTGGTTTGTATGGGCAAACACATTTGTGTTCCTCTGAAGAAAGAAATTCCTACAGGTTTGGAACAACATGAGGGTTAAGTAGCTCTTCAGCTATTTGAAATGGTTTTATGTGAGAAATTTGGCGTCATATCTTAAAAACAACTATCAGAAAATGTCCCACTTGACTTGTATTGATATGAAGCTAGCTAACTCCTATCTCTCTAATGTAATCCTATTGTCCTCTGTTCTGTCTTAGAGGTTTGAGGTCCATCAAGACCCGATGGTGAGCGTGGCCCACATGGTGCGAGCTGGTGGGGGCGCATGGATGGCCTTTTCAGAAGGTTCTTCTATACGCTTGTTCCATACGGAAACACTGGAGCACCTGCAGGAGATCAACATATCTACACCCTCGTCATTTTACAACCCCAGTGAGTTTCTCTCCTTTGACCCTGTGAAAGGAGCCTTTTGAATACCAAAATTCTTTATGCCTTCACACGTGCTTGATCAGTGCTTGTTTCCGTCATTTCTTTGAACTGCACTTCTCGTGATAAAAAGGTAATGACGGAGAAGTTCTTGTTGGAATGGTTCCTGTAGGCTGGCTCTCCAGGGAACGACCGTGAATAAGTAGCTAACTTAAGACCCCGCAGAGCAGTAATGGAGCTGCGGGGTTACAGGCAGGAAAAGGCACAATGGCACAGACAAAGCTTTCAGTTCAAAATGTTGCCATGGCAACACTCTTGTCATGACTTCAGCAGCCGTGGCATGTTGGTAATGTGCCAACGTTTGGCCATTGTGCCTTTTCTTAGTGCAGCTGGTCTTTAATTCATCTGTTTTCTCTCTTTTTTTTTTTACCTCTCTACACTCACCTTTAGCCATCTTTATTTCCCATGGGTCCTCTTAAATATCAGATTTGTCAAATTCTTTGTGCTATATCACTCCTTTTAGATGAAATAAATATAAGCCAAAGCCATGGTTTTCGCTACCTTTTTGCAGAAGGGAGCACGCGTGTAAACATTCATTATATAAGCAAGGACATTGAAAATAATAGTTTAACGGGGTCATGAACTGCCTTTGTTTTTTATTTTGGACTGTTCTCTGAGGTCCACTTATAATGTTATCAAGATTTTTACATCAAAATGCGTCATAATTTAGAAGTAATATGCTATTTTCTGTCCTGTTTTGACCCTCTCATCGGAACGCACGAAGTAAACGCACACTGCTATGATTGGCTAATAGTTGTGTGTGTTTGACAGCGTGCATCCTCCATAGATGAACGCTGCTGTGATTTAGGTTAAAAATGCATAAATACTCAGTACTTATCAAACGATCTGTAATAACAGACAAAGCAATAGCGACCACATAATAAAAATAGTTACTCACACTTTTGTCTTGCGACATTACTGTCAGATCCAATATAGTCAGCACAG